GACTGTCACCCTTTGCAGGAGTCAAAAGTCCCGTCTTCCCTCTCAGAGCTGGCGCTGGTTTCAAACTCATCCTGTGGTTGGTGTAACCGACAGACCAGGGCTGGCGACAGACCTGGGGTCGTGGGGAAAATGCCAAACATCTTCCCCAGCATTGCTTTCTGGAAGTGGAGTATTCTGTGAGAGTGCATCAGCAGACACCTACCGAGTGTCTGCTATGTGCCAACCCTGCCCTGCACGGCGAAGCGCGGTAGGGGATAGGATCGTCCTTTTTGTCACACGGAGTCTGATTCTTAGGGTCAGGGGAATGCCGCAGAGAGCAGGCTCAGTGGGCTCCTGCTCTGGCCAGGAGCCTTAGGAGGTGGGTTATGTTTCCCTGCTCGCCACCCGCCCACCCCTCCACCCCAGCCACTGTCCTGGCTTCTCTGCAGCCACCTTCCTCCTCCTCCCGTGGGAGAGGTGGGGGTCCATATGCCACTCAAGACACAGAGCTGGCATCCTCCCTGCTGACCACCCCCCACTTCCTTGAACTGAGACGAGGGCCTCCCCCAGCACACACGCTGCCTCTGAGCCTCATGACACCCAGGCCCTGGGCTGAATACCAAGGTCGCTGCAGCTCTGGTTTCTCCGTCTCCGTCTCCTCACTGGGGCTGAGAAGATGTCTGAGGACGTTGATAAAAGCCGGCTGGCTGGCTTCCTTCCTTTTTTGCCCTGATGCCCTCGCTCCTTCCCAGGTTTGGTGTGGCTACCCCACTCCCTCCATCTGCTGTGGCGCTGTGGGGGGAGGGGGCAGTGCTGCGGGGGACTGGTCAAGGCTCTAGAGGGCAGGCTCCCCTCCCTCCTGGGACTCTCCCCTCTTCTTTCACACCCCTGGGCTCAGCCCGGTCCTCCTGGACAAGCCTTCCCCCAGCGCTCAGCCATCTGAACGTCCCATGTTAGTCCTGCCTGGGCCTGGAGCCTTTCCTGACTGCTCCTGCATGACCCCATGGGCAAGGGGATGTAGTTTGTTCTTGGACCCAAGCCTCCCAACGGAGCAAAGCTGCTTCCAGCAGGGAAATGACGGACTGTGGGGAGTCTTGGCCCAGCAGCAGGGAAAGCCGCCTGCTTACTTACTGCCCGGCCGGCCCACCGTCGATGGACGGCGGTGAGGTTCTGTTTCCAGAAGGAACAGTAAAATACCTTGTCTGCCCAAGTCTGTGTCAAGAGGTGAAAATCCTCAGGTTGGGAAAAGGGTCCCTAAAAGTGAATGAACACACTGGAGACAGAGGGGGTGTCCGCCAGGGGGCTGGTGGGGTGGGGGACACACCGCCTGGGGACTTGAGCTGGGGAGGGGCTGCCCCTGAGCCACTTCCTGAACCTCCTTCACTTTTCCTCCTCCAGGC